CCAGTGTGATGGTGTCAGGGGGCGGAGCTTTTGTGAGATGGTTAGGCCATGAAGGTAGAGTCCTCATGAATGGGGTGAATGCCTTTCTAAAAGAGACCCCAAAGAGCATCTTCTCTGCTTTCCACCATCTAAACAGAGAGAAGCTGGCAACCCAGAAGGGGGTCTCACCTCACTAGAACCCAACCAACTTGGCACCCTCATCTTGGACTTCTCAGCTTCTAGAACTGTGAGAAATAAATGTCTGTTGTTTAAGCCACCAGTTTATGGTCGTTTTGTTACAGCAGCCGAAATGGACTAAGTCAGCAGGCCATCAAACCTTACCCTAATGCTATGGGTTAAGCAAGTGAAAGCCATGTGTGTGTACGAATATGTATGTTTCCAAAAATGGAATACCCATTCAATCCTCTGTTCCCCTAAGAAGTAATTATACTTCCTGATATACATGAGCTTTGAGGAGACGAATTTAGTTCACACTGCCTCAATGTTAGCCCTGGTTTGCGGATTACACATGGATTTAATTTGTCCTGGAGCAGATGGGGAAAATGTCGATAGGCAGAAAACAGATAGATTGGTTGATCCAGCAGCAAGGGAACAATGTTGTCAGCACAGCACGGCTTTTTAAAACAAAAACAAAAACTAAGAATCTGCTGTGCAGGGATGTTTGATTGTTTTCAAAAAAGAATTTAAGGCAGTTGATTCAAACGTATATATGTGAATGAGCATTTTAAAAGTGGACAATGGTGAAGAGAAAATAAGAGAAGGAAAAAAATTAAAGCTGGAGGCAGGGAGGGCAGTTGACAAAACAGGTAAGACGTCTGTAATTTGTCAGAGGTGGGCCAGGAATTGAACTGTGAGCTCTCTGTGAGCCACTGGGAAGAAGGGAAGTTGATCTATTAATGCAGAGCAATGTCCCCAAGACCAGACAAAGCAGTGACTCAGGGATGCACAACCACCACTGGTCAGATCACTGGGAAAAGTTTCCCCGAAGCTCACCAGAGGTCGGGGGAGTGCTGACAGTGACATCCCCAATAGCAGCTTTGCCTAAGGCCGTTTCTTAAAACTTTCTTCCATGAAAACAATGGCAGAACATCACAGTGGTGCTTAGGAAAAGCAGTTTTACAAAATCAGTATAAAAAGCCACAAATGGAAACAAAAAAGGGTGGACCTTTTGGTCTGGTGACCGACCGAAGGGAGGCAAGCTGAGCAGAATCAGACTAGGAACAAACACCGGAGCTTCAAGCACTGGCTTCACCTTGGAACAGAGGTGTTTGTTTGTTTCCTTAAAGTCAACATTAACCTACAGGAAATTCTGAGGACTTATTTTCAATTATATTGACTTAATAAGTTAAATAACCTTCTCGAACACTTTTACAGGCCTCTGACTATATCTTTCTACTACAAATATGCATAAACATTAATGCTTCTACGATAATCTCAAGTATGGGGGAAAATCTGGGGTAGAATGAGGAAGGGATGAGGGAGGTTTCAGGGAGGTATCACATAGGAAAAGGTTAGCAAGGAAATTAATGTACAAAACTAGTTATCTGATGTTCAAGTTGTTACATCCAGTTACCAGGTTTTCTATTAGCACAGCAGACTGCATGACCTAAGCCAGAAATGGGAGGAAGAAATGCAGGTGTTCTCATCTGCTGTGCCTAATTTGAAACTAAAGCCTAACCCATAGGATGGCATGTTTATAACTGTTTTGACATGATGTTTTTAGAAATAAACATTCTCTCAAAGTCCAATTTATTTGGGCAAAAACATGACTCTATCTTTTCAGTCACTTTTCAAAGTGTCTAAAGGAATACTTTTTAGCATCTACTCAAAAGCAGAGCTAGCGAAGAACTTGGCTATTCGATTATGCTCTCAAATAAGGAAGCATCACACATAGCAGACTGTTTCACAGCCACAGCAGAGGTACTTATTAGCTGGGTGATTTTATCCTAAATTATCTGTAGTGAAATAATCAACCATGTTCGCATTTACATGAAGATAATTAGATCCCGGAGTTAATATTCTCCGATAATCATTAGGAGAAGTGAACAGTACTCTAGGAGCTAGAGTTAACATTTCAGGCTGCTTATAATTTCATAATGACAGAAAATTTATGAAACAACCTATTTTTTCCATACCCAGAAGACTCAAAATCAGCTTATGAGGGTAGAAAACAACCAAATCGGGGGAAAGGACCACTAAATCGCCGACTTCGCTCTGGTTTTTATAGTCATGGAACTCCAGAGGAGGGAGACTAAGGCACCAACATATTAAGTCAATAAAACTCCAGCCTGCCCTTGGTGGCCTCTGAGGCACAAAAACCAGAACCTCCCACTCCTGCCCCAGAGAGCACTATCTAACCCAGACATAAAATCTATTTCTCCTAGGCTGCTATGGAAACACAATTGTTTCTAGACTGATTTCATTGGGACTAGCCAGCATAGGTTGGAAAACATCAGGAACCCAAGTGCTAAGGGTCAACAGAAATGACAATTATGACTAGAATACTGGGGAGAGCCATCTGCAACCACATCTCATTTAAACGCGCTGGCCAGACCCGATGGCAGATTTCACAGAGCTGATCTCTCTAAGTGACTCTGGTGAGCTGGTAACATAGTGGGAGAGAGAGGTCATTTGAGATGAAGGCAGCAATTAAAAAGGGTTTACAGCCTACCTGATGAGAGACTCTAGGATGGCAGGGGTGGGACCTTTCTGGAACTCCAGTTCTTTGTAGTGTAGTGCTTTGGCATATGCTCGGCATTTGGCAGCCCTCTCACCCAGCAAAACAATGCCATTGTCGTCTCTCAATGGCAGGGGGCCCTGGAGGAGAGCAGAACCCCATAGCATAGGAAAATGGCAGACGGAGCACGAACGGGAACGGACCGCATGAGTGCTTCTCCCCTCCCACCAGCGGGGTCCCTGACAGGCTCCATCTGGACAATGGGGAAAAGTCTCACCTTGTCACTGTGTTCCATGAATTCAGCCAAGTTTAAGAGGGTTTGTGTGACTTCAGCGATATCCTGTGAAGTGAGGGCCAACTCGATGCTTCTGATGAGTTCATCCTGTTGGTCTTCATTCAGTTCAGACCAGCAGGACACAAACGCAGCATTAAAGAGATCCCTGGAGGCGGAAAAGGGTGGAGAAAGACGTGGAGATGCCTCTGCTTGGTGCGAAGTCACACCCTTTGGCCTACTCCTGGCATCACTGACACTGACTATACAGACCAGAGCTGGCCAACGGAACTTGCTGGAAATGATCTGTATCTTCCCTGTCCGATATGGTTGCCACTGATCACTGAGGACTTGAACTATGGTGAGTGTGACCGAGGAACTGAATTTGGAGTTTTAATTTTAATTAACTTAAATTAAAATAACCACATGTGGCTAGTGACTACTGTAGCTTACAGTGCAGGTATAGACATTGTGCCATATAGGAACGGTTAGGGGGTGGCAGGAGACGAAAGAAGACCAGAGAAAAGTAACTGGTCTCCACAGGCACGTTTCTTGGCAGTTTTTGCACCATTTCTCATCACTGGAGGGGGCGAACAGGAAGGCGACTTCTAACACAGAAGTTAGCATTAACAGATTCTGAAAATAATAATCTCCAAATGATTCTTGGGACAGTTCTCAGGCAATGTCCAAATGGCTAAAATTGGAAGTGGCAAAGGCAGCATCGGCTACTGTTTTAGAAAGTATAACCATAAACCTTAGTTAAGTGGCCACAAACAAAATGACAACAGAATTAGAAGCATTAGCGAATTTAGAATCCAACTCCGTGAGTCTTAAAAGGCTGTCAGAGCCAATCTCCAACAGCTGGGGCACTGCGAAGACCTGGAACCAGAGGTGCCATTTCTAACATTACCGAAAGTATTTTAAATCACGACAGCACCC